CCCAACAAACCCCAAATTCTGATCTGTCTCTTTCTCTGCAGATTGTAGATTTTTGAGATTTTACTAGCAACTCTGATCCCTACTCAGCAGAACACTTAAAGTACATGATTAACTTTAAGCATATAAAGCCCCTGACTTGAACCTTACAGGATTCAGGGGTTATTTATTCAGTAACAAAAATCTCTGTTAGTGCAGAGTTAAGGTTGTCCAGTAGAATCCTCTGAAAACTCAATCAAATAAAAGGCAGAACACCTAGGTCAGGAGTAGACATTACACTTTTACCACTATAAGTGATCAGAAACAGGTCTATACCCATAAAAGAACAGAAGTTTGGTACACAGAGACCGATTTAAAAATGGTGGACCCACGTCTAAGTTTTGCCTCTCCCCACCCACCACCAAAGGGTAAATGTGTGTTCTGTTTGCTACTGATCTAAATTACACTGCTTACAGAAAACTACAAAACTTAGATGGATTCTACCTTGGGCTTCCTAAATGTCTGTACCTAGCCCTAGTGTCAGGTACCACCAATTCAATCTTAACTCTGATTTTCTGGAGCTGAAAACAACCACTGAAGTTTATTTGCATCAATGCAGCTATACTCATTCTGTCAGGTATAGCAGTCTTGAACTATGGAGGAATTACTTCGAACAGCTTGACAGAGTTGTAAATGTGATATGACAAGATTTGAGGGAGCAAATGCCTACCCCTTAACTGTCACCACATGTAAGAAAAAGGAAAGTAGTGTGTATGGATTAGGGAGAGTCAGTATGCCTTGCTTCTACAATCAGTGAACATTTCAGTAACAATGCACAAGGTTATTAACCCCAAGACTGTCTAAAGCCAGACAGGATATGAGAATGGTCTATGAGCTGAATGATGGATAAATTAAAGTTTAGTGTAAACAGTGGGTGCATTGGACATCACTCAGAGTTAGGATGTCAAGCCACAGTTAAGGTTGCATAGGTATACACAATTGACTCTGAATTTTTTTTATTTTCATGAGATTAAAGTTGTTTTACCTCTATGGTCCCTTCCCAAACCCTGAACATCTTGGGAGAGTAAGAAGAGTGGGTCAGTTCCTAGCCCAGATGGCTGGACAAGGAGAGGGACTCAGACCCCCATGAAGAAGCAGGACCAGGCCCCTTCCCTCTCCCCCCAGATCTAAGCTCAGATGGAGCAGACAAAAAGGGAGACCAAGACCCTTCTCCTGTAAGCAGAGTCCTCCCCAGCCCTAACAGTCTGGATAGGGAGAAGGTTTCAGATTTCCTCCAGAGCAGCAGGACCCCAGGCTCTGGGCTCCCACATTACAGGGGACAGGGACACGTGATCATACAACCTCCTCCTGCCACACTTCTTGCCTCCTACCAGTATTTCACCTCTATACCCCCTCTCATCCCTTCCCTCAGATCTGAGTCCTGACAATTCCTTCCCAACTCTTCCCCCAAGGCATTCCCTCCTGCTCCCCAATCCTCCTCTGTTCTCATATTCCCCCCACCACTCTTCCCCTCAATCTACTCCTAGCAAGTATTAGCACATGGGATTTATTTTTTCAAAAACATTACCCCAAATTATCCATTATGTTCAAATTACAGTGCCCACAAAAGAACACACCTCTTCTTGACAGAGGCAGGCTATAACAACATATCTATCATTCATTCTCATATTTTTAACAAGCATAAGCATCAGTCTCATACTGACTGAATGTGACTCAGGTTTCATGGCCATAGCATGTCCCCTTGAGTCACCTATATCACATGGAGAAACTGGCTTTCAAAAAAAACTTATAGGATCAAACAGGACCCCTTCATGTTGTCTACTCCAACCCCATGCACAGACATAAAACTTACTGCTTCTAAACCCGTCCAGACAGATGCCTACCTAGTCTCTTCTCCGATGAGGGAGAGGCCACAGCTTACCTAGATGGCTTCTTCCATTGTCCAACTGCTCTTATAATTACGAGGGGTTTTTTAGTTTGATTTGATTTAAATATGTTTTATTGTACTTTACACTAATGTCCTGCCCACCATGGCATGGGAGAACCATTTTTCTCTATCTTCTTTAAGGCAGCCTTTCAAATATTTTAGAAACAGTTGTCATCTACCAATCTCCTTTTTTCCAAATTAAACATACCTAGTCCCTTCAACCTTTGCTCACATAGCTTGCATTCTAACCCCTTCATCATCTCTGTCACTCTCCTCTAATTTCTCTACATCAAGATGTTATCAATGCCCTTAATGAACCCTCTTGTTAGTCTTTCTGCACAGGCACAGTTACATTTTTGGGCCCATGAGTGTTTAGCACATGTTAACTAACCATACAACTCATTCTTTATTGAAATTTTCAATATTGCTTTCCCCAAGGAGCTGTAGATGCCAGCACTAACTGAAATAATTGCTGAGCAACTGTAGACAGTTGGGGAAAATCACAACCATGGTGTGAACACCAAGTGTGTTAAAAAAAACACTTGTGGAAATTGTGAATTTTAGGAATGCCACTGTTTTTTCCCAGGGGCTCTCTCTCAGGAATTCCTTGATAAATTGACTATAAATATGGATCATAACCCTACCTCACATATTCATACACAGCAAATTTTACAACCAAAGAAAGCCGGCAGATTTCAGAATACTTAGAAAAGCTGACCTTTAAACAGAAAGGGTTCCTCAACCTTAACTTTAGCAGAGCTGGCACACATTTTGAGCCTAGATCTTTTGGCAGAAAATTGAAAATAGACTTGCATGCCTAATTACTTATTTTTAAATGTGTGACAGATATGCAACAATTTGAATATCTAGACTATAATTTACATAAATACATTTTAAAACAAAACATTTGAAATGTATTCCCTTCTTTACTGCTTATAAGCTCAAGTGCTTTCCTGGATTGGGGCCAGAATATCAGCACCTTGCAGGAGAGAGCTGAACATGCATAAATCAAACCTTCAAAGAAATGTCACATTCATAAGGAATATATTTGGGTGAACAGATTTAGAAGAATAAAATCAACAATGAAGAGAAATTAGAGTGGCTGAAAATTAATAAAGCACAGCTGGAATTATTTGATTCATCCACATCAGCCGCTTAAATGGCTCTACGGCTTAAACTTGTGGAAGGAAGGTACTTGAAGACTCAGGGGTCAATTGCTTTTGGAGACAAATTGACCTACGAGAATGCACTACTCTAAATTGGTCCTTGTAGAACAACTCTACTGCAATACATAACCAAAAGGCGAAAAAAAACCCACAACAATTTAGACTCCCAAAAGCCGATATCGAGCCAAGTAAAATTTTACACACATGCAGACACATGCACAATCATAATATTAACAGCTTGCCAGGCTACAGATTTTTTTCCACAAAAGAAAGGTTTACAGATTATTATTTTTGTCTTGAAACCAACTGTACTCTACTTTTTGTTATATGACACACTCAAACCTATTCATTGTCAAGTTGCTGTTGTAACCTGGGCAGCACTTTGCATGGTTCAGTTATGTTCGAAAGTCCAAGGACCCCAACTGCTGGCGTGGCCTTCTGGGTGTAACGTGCAGTTATGGCAATCTATAATTCCATTAATTTGGAATTAAATGCAGCTGTAAATTCAAACATGAGTCATGTGTATTAGTCAAGCTGCTGCAATACATTCATCTGTAACTTCCCACAGTTTGTGATAACACTCATTTGAAAACAAGCATGCTAAATACACTGGGTTTCTTCTAAACATCTCTTTGGTTCTTGTACACATAAATTTCTTTTTCCTGAATAGTACCAATTATGTTCTTTACAAAACACCTTAATAAAGTAAGCGGGTACTAAAATTAAATATTTTCTTTCAATAAATAATTTATTTGCATACACTAAGAGCTCAAGATAATATCTAACCACACCATGCTGCAAGAAATTCATAAAGAATCCCTAAAAAAAAACCCTTAGATATATTACAAACTCCTGTTTGAACATATTTGCTTAGGAATACAGTGGGAATTTCAATCCTGGATGTGGACAGATGAAATATTATGCTTCTTTTAAAAGGAGGAAGTCTTACCACAGTTCAACTGAATCCATTGCAACTATTTCGTGCGTCTACTCCGATCCTCTTCTAAGTGGAAGTTAAAAAGTGCATCATCTTAAAACAAATTTCAGTTACCAAAGTCTAGCTTCACTTGCTGTGGGATTATATAGACAGACAACACAGTTACAATGCATCAAATGATAGGCACTCAAGTTTCCTCACTCCTCAAAAGTGGTATAATGTTCATCTGCCCAATGCTCCTGCTATTGTCATCCCTGGAAGATGTCACATTTTTTGGATGCACAAACTTACAATACTTTAAATTCAGTCACCTGAAAAATATAATAGCTAAGAATATTCACTGCCATGAATAGAAAATATGTAAAAATACAGAAAAAACAGTAACTTTTTAAAAGGCAGAATTATTTCTAGTTTTACAACATTTGAAAAGTAATTTTAGAGTTCCAGAATTTTCTTTTGCTTTCCACTATTGCTATGGTTAACCAACATCCTGGCCTCATAAGTAAGGTGGCTGTTTAATAAAGAAGTACAAATTATTATCTTAAGATGAATTTTAAAAGAGTTAATACAGAAGTGCCAATACAGTTTCTTGTTTTCCAGTGCTATCACAGGTGTTATTTTACAATCTGACTCAATTCATGGCCTCTCTCTAACAGGAAGAGCATTCCAAGATGATGTCTTTCAATGAAGCTTTAAACATATTAAACACAGAGGGAATACAGTATGTTATTGCTACTACTTACTTAATATTTTCCTATTGCACAGGAAGCTTGAAATTCAGAGAGATGGATGATGAATTTAGATCTACAAAGATCTAAGCATCTCAGTTCTACAAATAATGCCACATTGAATTTACCTGCATAGTCCTCAGAGTGCCATCAATAGTGACAGGCAATAAGGGTGAAGCCAGGTTCCATTCACTGGTCACGTTTAGTTTCGTCCCATCAACTTCCACCTGTTGTGACACAAAACAAGACTGTTACCATGAAGACGGACAGCAAACTGATCTCAAGTTCATTGCTGCATACAAAGCAGGGACCATTTTAAAACAGATGGCTCCCAAACAACCTGTCATGTTTACTGCTTCTGCCATAAAAGACAGGGTCCAACAAAAGAGTCTTCTAGCCATCTCTGGGGAGAGGTGAAGGACCCGTGAACAGCTGCCTCTGAGTAGCAAGGTTTCAAGTGATTTCCAGCAAGTAACAAACAGTCATCCAACTTTTAAACCTATCTGGACATGCTACATTTACTGCAATTAGACAAGTAATGCATATAAATTTCAGTGACACTTTGCAACCCACACAACAGGGCTTGCATATAATATTCTCTCCAAGGACCAAGGAAGAACTTTTCCTAGGCTTCTAATGAGGGGTTTTGCATTGTTATCTTAATTAACATGAGGCAGTAATTAATTCTTTGATGTTGAATCTCAAAGTCCAGTCAAACTTTGCAAGTTCTGTCATGTTTTTTCTCAAACTACCACTAATCAGGGGACTGTAATTTCATGCTTACATTCCACTATAGTTATGCAGAAATGCACTCAGAAAAACTGCCATCATCTGTCTCTTTATAAGGGAATATTTCTACACAAAGGACAAACAATTTGGGTTCTGAAACAAAGTTAATAAGAGATTGAATCCTGATTGTGCTCCCCTTCCATTTATTCCAATTTCTGTTAAATATCACCACAAGCTTCTGCAGACTGTACCATGCCATAAGGAGTATTAGTAAGATTTTTTAAAAAATGATAGCAAAAGAATGACTATATATAATTACAGTATTATTAATTAGTATCTGTAGAGTGCTTTGAGCACCTACAAGATACCCATGGAAGAACAAAGGGGGGTAAAATATGATTTCACTGGGGTTTTGTTTGTTACCTTGCATCTGCTTATGCTCCTAAAATGCCTAAAATATTTTCAATCAATAATTTTAAGTTAACCAACAGCTCAAATGTTTAATATTTCTCACTAACCTGGATAAATACCACTATAGCAAGCCTGTATTCAGAACACAAGATGCATCCTTTTTTAAATAAATAGGCAAGGGCATACCAAAAACACCACACACACACACACAAAATTAATAACTATTTAATTTAATTTACCTGGCAATAGGCTCAGGTAACAGAAACTGTACTGCATCTTAACAAGCTCATTATAAACAAGCAGCAAAACTATCACGTAGAGCTGCATTTTAGCTTTGAAAAGGTTGAACTGAGAAAACTCTGACTTCAGACATATGTTTTGGAATATAAAGGTTATCTTCAGTGGGAATGATCTACTCAATTGCTAAACAGGTTTTGTCTAAAAATAAAGTTGCGTGTGAACACGATGAATAAAACAAGCCATTTATAATGGTTTACCAACAGGCTAGATCAGTAGGCATGTTTCAGGTGCTTTGCACTGCTCCAGTTAGGCAAAGCAGCCATAAACCTTTCTTAAGTTAAAACAGATTTTACAGCTGCTTTGCATTGCCAGAGCAGTGTGAAGCAGCTGGAGCATATCAATGGATCTGGCCCAAGGTCAATACAGCTACATTGGCAAATATTATCTCTGCTTAGAACAGTACATGCATGTTTGACTGGCAATTGCATTTTGGAATGGCAGCTAATAGAAAAGCCAGTCCTTCTCTGATGATATAATTTAAGTCCACCACTTAGAAAAAATTGGTTGCATTTCCCAAGCACCCAAAACCATCTTGCAACGTTTGTCAGTGAAAAACAGGTACCAGAACAGAATTGGCATACTGGCTAGCATATAATTAACTCTGTGCTTTAGGGCTGTACTAATACATAGACAGCCTTGTAGAAAGCAGAACTGATCACTAAAATCTGATCTTAGGGTATGAGCCTATGTCTCCACTTAGCAAACAAATTTGCTGCTGGTTCCTAATGAGGTTACAGCAGTAAGCTACCAGTCTTTGAGCCTTCCCAAGAGTTAACATAAATCTAGCCATCAGCAATTCCATGTTAAGTTAACTTTCTTAATTCTGGCAGAACCAAAAATGAGTGTGACAATAATGTAAGTCAAGGGCCCTAGATCAGGCTTGAACAAATAGTGAAGTGGAACTCAATAAATGCTGCAACTTTTATTGCAGGTAGCATGAAATAGGAGAAAAAGCAAACAATACATTGTCTTTATCATGTGTTCTCCATTCAAGTAGGCATGTCTGACGAAACAAGGAGCTAAATGGCAGGGGGCGGACTTGATAATCTGATTATGTCCCTTCGGACCTTACCAACTATGAAACTATGAAACTAAAATGTGCAGTTTTTCACTAAACATCTGCCAAACAATTTTATAAAGGTATCATGAGATTGCAGCGCCACTGGCCATCATCTTTGAAAACTCATAGCAATCAGGAGAGGTCCCAGTTGATTGGGAAAGGGCAAACATAGTGCCCATATTTAAGAAAGGGAAAAAGGAGGATCCAGGGAACTACAGACCAGTTAGCCTCACCTCAGTCCCTGGAAAAATCATGGAGCAGGTCCTCTAAGTATCTGGAGGAGGAAAAGAAAGTGATCAGGAACAGTCAGCATGGATTCACTAAGGACAAGTCATGCCTGACCAATCTGATTGACTTCTATGATGAGATGACTGGCTGTGTGGATGGGGAGAAAGTAGTGGACATACCTTGACTTCAGCAAGGCTTTTGATATGGC